TCCTTCCTTCCTTCCTTCCTTCCTTCCTTCTTTCCTTCTCTCCCTCCCTCCCTCCCTTCCTCTTGCTTTCTTGCTTTCTTGGAATCAAACTCAGGTACTCACTCTTGCCAGGTAGATGCTGTATCACTGACCTACATTCCTGGCCCACAAATTTCTTTTACTACTTTGTAGCCTAACTTTAAAGCTGATCATCTCAAACACTCCCAAGTTTAGCAAAAATGAATTCAGCTGTCTTTGTTTGATGCACTCAGAAATTAGAAGAAAGAAAAACTATTTTGAAAATAAATGGAAGATTTTCTAAAGAATTTCCACATTGAAGATCTCAGCTAGTGTTCATAAAGACTCTATGAGGTACAGGAACAGATAGACACATCTTCCTGAGGCTGGTATATGGCTGGACTTGACTGAGGTCACCTGGATTTTATATAACACCAGGGAGTGTACCAACTGAGTACTTTCACAAACACTGTCTCATGGATAGTAGCTATAATAATAATCAGAGGGTGTGTGGCTGGCTTGAGACCATGACATGTGGCTAGTCTGTCACCAAACAGAGGGCTACAGTTTTGTTTTGTTTTGTTTTTTGGTACTAGGGATCAAACTCGGGACTTTGTGCTTGTGAAGCAGGCAGCAGAACCACTAAGCTAAATCGCTGGGCCCTGCACTGCAGTGTTGGCATTAGCATTGGCTCAGATCCCATGAGTTAAAGGCACTGTCCCTAACAGGTCACCGTACTTAGATGCCAGCTCCAAGCCGGGTCCCTAGGTCCTTATAGTTCTGACCACCTGGCCGCCTCAAAACCAGGGGATGGGGTGGGGTCCCATGAGCTTTCACATAATTTGCTAAAATGACTCAAACAACTCAAGAAAGTGCCATATTCATGATTTTATCCTAAGGATGTAGATCAGGATTAGACAAATGAAGAGACTTACGGTGAGGTCTGGGTGGGTCCTGCATGCGGATCCTCTCTGTGGGTGGATCATGACATATTCTTCTTCTCATTGTGTTCACCAGCCAAGAAGCTTAATGAGCTTCACATTATGCAGGCATAACTGATAACTCAATCTCCACCCCTTCACCCTCCTGGGGCTCAAAGCACCAGCCCTCTTTTCACACATTGGCCTGCCTGGTATCCAATCTCTATTCAAAACCATCTCATTAACATGAACTCAGGTGTGGACCAAGGGATTTGTAGGTAACAGATGCTCTGGGAAATTCCAATGATTTTAAAAGCTCCTTTCCAAACCTGGAATAAAGATCAAATTATTATACAACAGTAGCAAAGCCCATGTAGGCTGTATGTCTGCCGATTCCAGCCAAGAAATTTCTCTTATAACCAACACTGTGTACTCATAGAACAGGGCTCCCATCTGGCTTTCTGTGCATGAGTGAAGGAGAAATGAGAAACTGGGATGTACTCTGACCTCCTGAAGACCTAGGGAAAGGCTTCCACTACTTCAAAACCACACCATGTCTTTCCATTTTGCCCACCTGAAACCAGACCAAACCCACAATCCAATTTCCACATTTCTGAGGTGATAAAGCTAAAGCAGGAAGGATGCTGGCAAATGAATGTGCTGATCCTCTTCCTCTTGAAAGAGAGTTTGTCTTTAGGACAGTGCAGAGTGTCTGAAAGCAAGCTATGTAGGAGGTGAAAGTAAAGTCTGTGATTGCAGAGGTCCACATTTATCCTTCATCTGCATTTTAAACAAAACCCCTCCATAGCACACAGCTCTCTTCCCTAAGTAGGTGTGATCCAAGACTCATGAGCCAAAATGGAATGGTGGATGAGGAATAATACCAAAAAAAATAAAATCCTGGGCATGCAGGCTGCACAAGGGCAGCACATCCACTTTAATTATTGATGCCACTTGGTGAACAGGTAAAAGGGTTTTCATTTCCTGTACACCTACTATGTGCTATGCTCTGTGGCTAGCATTTGGACACCACACATCATTTAACCCTCACAATTTTGCAAAATGTGTCTTATTACCCTACTAGAATTGACACTAAAGCTCTGTGCCATGAAAGAACTTGCCCAAAACGTGCAGGTAAGAAGAGGCCAGGCTGAGTCCAGCTGCAGTTCATTCCCAAGACCCACTTCCTCACCTATTACAGGCTGCCTCCAGTCGCTGCAAATAGCCTGGAAAATAGTGTTGTAATTTTTGTTTGCTTGTTGCTTTATTAAATATCGTTTTTGTCTGATTATGTAATTAAACTGTGATCCTCTGAAAACCTGCCATTTTGAAAGCTCAGGGCAGCAGAACAAAGCTAATCAAAGAAAATCTTCATTTACATTAATCCTGCTGGGAGATTGCTCAGGTCATTTTTCTGAATGTCTCGGTGAGCTTGGACAACTTAGTCGAAACATCAGGCCGGTTGCAGTTATTAAACCTCTGCTAATTTTGGCCTCTGGTGCAGAGCAGATGCGCTATTAATGATAAAAGTAGCAACCACATAAAAGGCTCGCTGTGGGATTATGAGCACAGCACCTTTTCAAGCTCTATCTTTTGCTTTGCCTCAATACTACCGGCCTTTTGTAGATCAGCCAAGTGGTCTCTAGAAGAGTGGGCTTGAAGGCCAGAGCTCTGCATCTGCTCCATGCTAGTGCCACCTACTGGCTTGATCAGGCATCTTCGTGTCCTAAAACTGGGCTTGTGGGCTCTGCTTTCCGCAGCCATGTTGTTATTGTTTTGTTTTTTAAGGACACTAGAGATACTCGTGTGTGAGGAGGAGAGTAATAAGCATTCATTTGTTTCTTAAAACTGCAAGATTGTGAGTAGCTGAGATGATGAATTGGGGGCTTGGACAATTTTGTGCTGCCGTTGTGAAGACACAGCACAAGAATGCCTTGCCCCCTGCTCCTTTCAGGTGCCCGGATCGGCTGGCTTCCAGGATATCCCATCAATACCTCCAGACCATGCCTTCTTCCTCATTTTCCCAGTGTTTGGACTCAGTGGACACCACAGCCAGGAGGAAAATGAGAAAGCTTGGTTCCAGCCCCAGCCACCCACTCAACTGATGTTATTCCCCTTTCCAGATGCTTCTCAGCCTTTAGAGACCCTTCTTGAGTAACATGTGGGGAGCCCACCATGCCATGCCTAAGTTGGTGCTGAGAACACAAGGCTTGGAAGTCTCACTCCCTAACTTGGAGACAGGCACCATCTGGTCAGAAAGAGAGTCTTGCGGAGATAGAACCATGGTAGGAGAGGATGAACTCTAGGTGAGGAGGACACCAGAGGAATGATGCAAACAGCTCAGAACTTGGAGCCAGATTTACCTGGGTTTGTCTCCCTGAAACAGGAGTGAATTGTTGCTGCTGGATGAAGAATCGTTGTGCAGTGATTTTGAAGAGACTAATCAGCAACAAGAAGGGGAAGGTACCAACTCCTTCCTCTGGCTTTCCAGTCTCCCTCTAGGGCTCCCTTAAGTACAGGGTCTGTCTGGCAAAGGAGAAATGAGTCCAGGCTCAGTGTCACAAAGCAGAATATGAAATAATGGGTTTGAAACCATGAGAGAACAGCTTTTATCCAGCATACAACCTTCTTTCATCATTACGGGGCCTCAGTTTTGTAAATGTGTTAGGAAAACATAGATACCTTCCACCCTGTGCCCCACCCGCTATGCAGGCCCAGGGTGAATCTTGATGGGCTTGAAGCAGGAAACTGTGAGGACCCTGGACAGATTACTCTTAACATGAAGATAGGAGCAAAAAGTGGCTTTTAAAGCCAGTGGCTCAGCGAGTGACTCCTGTTAGTCTCGAGAGCCCTGTATAGAAGTTTGCCCTTCATTTACCTCTTTTTACATCTATGAAAGTTAATTCCATTGGCGTTTCACTGGGAATACAGCAAGCAGGATTTACACAAAGCAGAGCAGTGGGTGTTGGGGGGGGCACAAAGAGTCTGGCAGGGCTTTCTGAGTCCATTATGCTCCTTTGACGACAGATTACAGAAGTTGTCATGGTTACTTAGGTGCATTCTACAAAGAGCATAGTTACCTTGTTAACCCAGAGTTAACCCATAGCCTAATAGCACAGTTAACCCATAGTTATCCAATTCCATATGAAGGGGTGGTCTCCTCTCTCAGGCATATACTTTTGCAGATCCTCCAACTTTGATTTTTCAAAACTGAAAAACAGCCAGTTGAAAGTCGACAATCAATGAACAACTCCCAATTTTGGTAATTTCCTCCAACTCTCCCACTCCTCTCTTTTCCCCTAAATGTAGGGACAGATCAACCTGGAGAAAATCCCAAACCTCTCTTTCTATATTGATCTGTGGCAGCCTCTGCTTCCTTTCCTCATTTTTCTGCCCAGAGCCAAGAGGTTCCTACAAAATTTTCCAGTCTTTTTTTTTTTTTTTTTGGTACTGGGGATCAAACTACAGACCTTGTGCTTTCTAGGCAGGTGGCGGAACCACTGAGTAAATCCCCAGCCCTCCAGTCTTTTCTTTAAAGGGACCAATGAGGAAAGCAGGTACAGGGGAAGAGTCCACTTCCATTCCAAGTTAGATTTCCCCATTCTAGAGATTTATTCTTCCATGAGATTATAGGGCTGGCGGTTTGGCCCATATAGGGGAAGAAGAGCTGTAACTATACTTCCATCCAAAAGCAAGTACCCTGTCCTTGAGACAATACGAGGCACCAGGAAAGCCTAGATGAATCAAAAATGGTCCCTTCCCTAGAGGACTTCATATCTAGTAGAGAGACAAATCAGGGAGAACAATATAAGCCTAAACACAAGTGGTTGGCATAATGGAAGCACTAATGCCTCATTCTTCCTATGAAGGTCTCAGATTTCTTCCCAGAAGAGGTAATATAAGGAATGAGTGTCACCCCAGATTGACATCAGCACATGTGAGATCATTCAAATGTGCCTTAAGAGTGTGTATAGCTGAGACAGAGCCAGACACACCTAGTCAGTGGACTGGAGCTCTGGGATGATGATCTTGTAGGGATAGACAGGGACCTGAGGGTCTGGGATGACACTCGCCAGAGGCAGTAGGAAGCTGGGGAGAGGGGGACATGCCCTGTCTGCAGGGTAGACAGCCCACACTAGCAACTGTGTGGAGGTGGATTGGGAAAGGAAGCTGGCAGGATTTAAGGCAGAAAAGTGGCTGAAAGGCTGTGTTATAATGCTGGTTGGCAGCTTTAAAGCTGTGTAAGATACTTTCTCTTGCTCCCCCAGCCAAAGAGTGATTCACAGCAGTAGGCACAAATACATACAAAGTGGGAGGGCTGTGCTTGGGACATCCTGTCCAGCAGAGACACCAGTTTTGATGTGAGAAATCCATGTTTCAAGGACTGTGGAGTCATCCAGAGGCCTAGACTGGGGGAAAGGAGAGGACAGAGGGCTGGAAGGGGGAGGCTGCACACTTGGAGTGTGCTACATGCCATAGTTTGGGGGATATTCCTGAGGCTCCTGAAAATGCGGGGCGACTTCCAGGCTGAGGAATGACGTGATGACGGGCTGTGTTTAAGGAAAGCTCATCTGTGAGCTGGGGGGAGGGTGGATTAGAGGAGGAAGGATATCCTGTTGCAAATTAGTGCGCAGCTATATGATGACATGATCAGAAGCAGCTTTGCGGCCTAGAGACTGGAGATAGATCCACACTGGCGGGCAGAATAGTGAAGTTGTGGCTGCTAATATGGGGGAGGGAGCAGAAGGAGTCCAGATGTGCCCAAGTTTTGGTTAACTAAGTTAGAGGGAGATAGAAATTGAGTAGGAGGAGATATTTTTGTACCTGCTGCTAGTATTTGAATAATCCATTGCCATTTTCTGTTTCCATGTTTCTGGTGGCCCGTAATGGAGCCAAACCCATCCTGTGACTTCATATGAAACTCTAATAAGGAAGGGAGCCAGAAAGGCATGGGGGGAGGGGTTCCAGGACAATTTGTTTGGAGGCAGTGATTTTCATTTCAACAATAATTGTAATAGTACTCCATTTATTTTATATTTCTAATTTGAAAGTGCCGCACCAGGCTGATTTTAGTGAGTACACAGTGAAAGCCTACAAATTCACTTCTGTAAATTTAATGCTGTAAAATTGAGAAAGCTATACACAATGCAGCAAATTCCAGTCCTAGAAATTTTCCTAAAGAGATATGTATTTTTTAAGCCCAAAGTGAAAGCCCAAAGAAGTTCATTAGAGTGTTATCTATGCTAGCAAACAATAACGAAAACATAAAACTCCAGCAGAAAGCAATGGTTTGGTAAGTGAAGCTAAGACAATCCAATGAAATATTATGAGCCTATTAAAATGCAAATTACAATTATACTGTCAGAGGAGAAATGTGGAAACATGTTTGATGTGATAAGCAGAGTTATGAAAAGAGTACAAGATACTTTGCATACTTCAATGGAACTATAAATATGTGTGTGCATTGGATGAAACCAGGAAGGCAAGTGGGGAAACTGAGTGGGTATTGTGACGAGTATCCTGGGCTCAGGGGCCAGGGTGCTGAGCTCAAATCCTACATGTGACCTCAGGCAATGCAGGCAACTTCTCTCAGCTTCAGTTCCTCTTCTATGAATTGGGGGACACACATGGGTGTAATATAACAGTGGAGCTGTGCACATTCAAGTGAGCGAATGCATATTCAGCTCGTGGCTCTCTTGGCTGTTGCCTGGTTTCATGGGTGTTTGCATATGTCAGAACGTACCAGAGCATGCTTTCTGTAGAGTTCTTTTTGTGTGTCAATCATACCTTACTTAAGTTGTTTTATTAAAAAAAACTCATGATAGTATACCCAGAATTATTTACAATTCCATGGTTAAATCATCTCAGTGATATTAATGTGTCAAAATCCAGAATTTGGAGATTTAAAAATTATAGCAGAGTCTATAATTGTATTCTCTATGGAGTTTAATAAAGGAATAACTTTTAAAAGCTCTTGGTTCTTGAAGTGTTCAATAAATGACATTTATTGCTATGAGTGATTTCAATTTTAAATAGTACATTATAGATATATACATTGATTTTTTTAAAAGGTGCATAAGTAACCTAACAGAATTAAGTAGACCCAAGAGGAATTACATAAAACACTGAGAAGAATAAGTTAGTTACTAGGTTCTTGGTTCTGTCTTTGCGGTTTTGCTTCTGGTTTGCCCTTGTATTTTCTCTTTTTTTTTTGGTACCAGGGATCGAACTTGGTTCCTTGCACTTGAGCAGCAGGCGGCGAAACCACTGAGCTAAATCCCCAGCCCCCCTACCCTTGTATTTTAACCCTACTTGGTATGTGGTCAACTCTGGGAGTGAAGTAAGTACAATGCTCAAAATAGAAATTCTTACTCCATAACTTCTTTGAGATTCTTTCCTGTCCCAACTGCATGAAGCACAGATATAAACAATTTAATTATATCTGCTTTCCTTCCCAAAGAGTAGGTGCATCAGGGACCAGCTAGAGAACTGCCAGGAGGCTGGGCAGGGATTGCTTCAGAGCTCCATTACTTGCCTTTTGGTTGGGATTACTGGGTGGGAGGTGAAATTGGTGGTCATTCCCGAGTGGCCCCCGGGGCGTTGTCACCTGACTGAAGACCCTAGGGAGCCCTGACTTCATCACCCCTCTGGTAGTTGTTGCTGTCTGACTCTCTTATGTTTATTTGGTATGTGAGAGGGATGTTCTGAGGTGACTGCAAAGAGTCAGAACACACATGTGCTGTCAGGTAATTGCCCTGTTCACACCAACTTCAAAGTAGAGGGCAGTGCAGTTGGTTCCTCTCAGTGCCGTGATCTCTTTGATCACCATCAAGGATCGTAAGCCCTGCAGTGTGGACTCTGGCACATCTGTAGTTCTGCATTGCTGACTGTGGAATCACACTCTGCTCTACACAAGACCCAGGGACTTCATCCACATCAGCAATGAAAAGTCTGCCATTTCCCAGCATCAGGTAACCACCAGAGCAGGTAGGAAGGATTCCTGGGGCACCAAATTTGTGCAGGCAGAACCCACAGGGTCTCAGGCATCCCCCACACAACTTCAGAAAGTGGAGAAAGTTCACCCAGCAATGACACTTCTAGGATCTGTTGTTCAAAAATGCCCACCAATGGTCAAAGAGGTGCTCCCTGCAGAGTGGTCATTGTAGCATTCTTTTAATAACAAAATAACCCAAGTTATTATATACAAATATAAAATTGTATTATAAGGAATTATAGTATAGGGAATTATCAGGAAATAACCCAAATTTCCCCCAAATAGGGGATTGAGTAAATGAATTATGATATAGTAATGAAAGTTAATAAAGTTTTCTTTGCATTTATATGAAAAGATGTTCTAGATACATAGGTTAGTTTACATAAGTTGGTGTTTCTGATATGAATACATGTCATTAGAATTGAGTTATACTGCTGGCTGAGTGGGGATGAATTAGTGAAAGTTAGTTAGTTATAAACCTCACAAAGGGAGAAATAAGAGCATTTTTTAGACTTAGCAAAACAAACACTATACAAGGAAGAAATGAAATCATAGTACTCTACACAACTACATGAACAAAGATTGCACAACCATTACAACACATATGTAACACTGTAATCTAACCAAGGTCCTCGTACTGTTTGGTGTGTGTGTGTCTGTGAGGGATGCATTAAGAGAATTGAAAGCTTATTTTCTACAGTAGGAGTCAAACAGGAAATACCTAAGGTGGAAAGCCAGGAACCAACAGTGTAAGCAAGTTATCTAGAACTAAGGAAACAAATAGCTAACAGAAACTCAAGCAAGTGGGCTTGGGAAATGCTGTTTACTAGCCTTGTAGAACACTTTGAATCTTTAAGTTATAAATACCTGATAAAAATTTTAAAAATTTAAACAGTAAAAAAGTAAAACATAAGTAGATTAAAAATTTAACAATGCATCCTACTTTTTGTACTTAATGTCACTCTTTGTATCACTGCCTCAGAGCCTGGGAAAATGGACACAAAAAAGTGAGTTATCCGGCCTCCTTCCTTACACTCCCTAAGCCTA